TCTCTCCTTGGAGATAGGCCCCAGCTGCACTCCTTGAACTCGGGTTAATCTGCTGGGCTCCCAGCTTGTTAATGGACTGTGAAGCCCGGCTCCTGAAATCCTTCAGAAGTCTGCATGTGACCTTTGGTGGCTTTTTCTTTCTGCCTCTGGGATGTAGCAGCTTTCTGCTGGCTGGAGGAGGGCTGATGTTTTTGCAGGGAGCCTTTCTGAGGGTTTGCAGGCTGCACAACGCTGTGCTACTGAGATTCTGAATGAGGCCAGCAGGTTCGGAGGGCTTAGAGGGATTTTAAGTGCTTTGTGTTGCAAAGGCAAAGTGCTGGGAATGGGCTTCACCTCCCAGCACAGCGCACTGGGAAAGTGGGAGAGCTGCCTGCCACGCCAGCCTTCCTTTGGAGGGTCTGGGGAAGTCAGTAGGATGCAACAGACAATAAACAAATGGGGCTTAACCTAAGAGACAGTGATAAGCTTCCACAAGCTTGTATGTACTTGAAGATCCTTATTTTGCCTGCAATCCACTTACATTTCAGCCTTGCTGTCAATGTATATACTTTCTGATAAATGCCTTCTTTTGGTGTAAAGCAGCTTGGCAACGTGTGCCTTTTTGATTAGCTAAAGTAAAGATTTGCTTTGACACGTCATTTCTTTTGTTCCGAAGCATCCTGACAATTCATATCTGTGGCAGCCAAACAAGCAGATTTATGTACCAAGCTATTGTTCATTCCTCAAGTGTCACTGCCAAATGAGCTGGATTCTAAGCGTTTGATTCCTCCCCACTTTGCATGATGGGAGGTCCACTTTGCAATAATGAAAACAGTTTTCTTGCAAAATTCAATTAAACAAAATATCAACCATAAATCAGAATGGAGCTCTCATGGAGTTCCCATATGTGCCTATTGCTGCAGTGATATCAGTGGGGAAAAAACGTTAATTTAGTTAATTCCTCAAACTATTGTCTTTGTCTCTTGAAATTTTTCTTGTCCTGTCTGTACCTTTCTAGGCTCATTTTGTTTTTGAGATGTAATTCAGAGGGGCATCAGTGCCTCTTGTCTGTGTCCAATCCGTTTGGGCAATGCAGCCATGCATTAGCTGGTGCTCTCCCTCAAGTCCTGAAAACCTTCTCCGCTAGAAACAACAGTTTTAAAACAAAAACATCATTAAATTTTTCTTCAGAAATTTAAAAGGCTGCCAGTGAAGCTTTTAGCATGGAAATACTTTTTCCTATGTTAGGATAAGATGATATGAATGGCTAACGAGGAAAGGTAGGTTAAAATAATCCAGATACGTCTTGGAAAATCTATTTCAATTATGTTCAGTGTGCTTTTAGTGGAGACTATAAATTCTAAAGAATTAAGGGAGCCATAAAGATAAGTGTTACAGGAGAGTATGCCTCACATTTCACCTTCAGAAATTAAAATATTCGCTGTGAATTCAGATGTTATAAGGGTCACTGCATTGCTTGTGGTCATTAATAGCAGGAGGTGACTGTTGGGAGAGCTACGGGAAACCATTTCCCATAACATGGAAATTAAATGTGCAATTTACTGAAGATTCCCTTCCTATGAAATGGTGTGTTGACACCAGATTGTGTGCTGAAGGGAACTTTGCTTTATATTTCAAGTTTGCTCACGGATGGGCCATCTACACTTCATCTGCCTTGTGTGAAGCAGTGATTACACCAGCATAGTGAGGTCATTTCATATTATTTTGGTTTTTTGTCTAGTGTAGCTGGGCAGAGAGGAAGACAAATAAATAACCAAGGTGTTAACGTGGGGATGTGAGAGTACGTGGTCGGTCACTGGGGAGCACTGTGCCATGCTGTGTGTGTGTGTGTGCATTTCTAGGGCTGCATGTGTCCCTGTTAGATGCTGTCTGCTGCTGTTTAGGTAAAATTGGTGTGACAAGCAGCAATTCATTCAGACAACTAGTTGCGCTGCGTTCCAAGCCACTCCCAGACTTTCATATAACAACACTTCCCACCAGAAAGACAGTAAAACCAATGAGGCACAGCACGCCCTGCCTCCTCCTCATGTCCGCGAGGAGGTGTTGCTATAATGTAATACACTGCATAATATTTCTGATGGTGAGAGCTAGGGCTGCAGCTGGTTTGGCTGAGCTTTAGGATGCTCCCTTTAGCGCTCCTGGTATTTGCTTGTTGACAGATATCTGTGGGCTGCCCTCCCACTGAACTTAAGTATGGGTACCTGGCTTTAGGGGTGCTGTTTGGAGCTGCTAGCTTATGGATTCTCTGCTCCTTGCACCAAAAGGCCCCTCACACAGCATTTGGTTCAATGAGTGAGACTGGAGAAATGGTAATTCAATTTCAACTCTTTGAAAGGGTTGGTAACTGCAGGATGAGGGGAAATTGTTTTTAAATTGAGGGAGGGGAGATTTAGGTTGGATGTCAGGGGGAAGTTCTTTACAAAGAGAGTGGTGAGGTGCTGGAACAGCTGCCCAGAGAGGCTGTGGATGCTCCATCCCTGGAGTTGCTCAGGCCAGGTTGGATGGGGCCCTGGGCAGCCTGGTTTACCATTAAATGGGAAGGCTGGTGGCCCTGCATGTGGCGGGTGGGTAAGAGATTCGTGATCCTTGAGGTCCCTTCCAACCCTGGCCATTCTGTGATGTCACTTATTTTTTTTCTCCCCAAATGGCTGTTGGAAACCAAGCTGTTAAGGGTGAGTTGCTCAGAGAAAGAAATGGGGCAAAGAGCCATCTGTTTGGATTGGTCTAGAGCCACGTTTTGATGGAAAGCTGTCAGGAAACTGGACTTCAGTGGAACTGGAGCCCTGTGTGAACCTTCCTTAACACCTCCGTGTCCAAAGTTGCAGGGTTTATGCTGAGAGATGGGTTGTTGTTGCTTTAATGGATGCCATCGACATGCATGGAACTTTCTCCTATTTATTAAATTAATGTGTGTTGGTAAGCTTACAGGGGATACTGCTCAAACTGACAGAAAACCAGTTTGGAATGATTACCAGATGCCATGTGCAAAACATGTCTGTTAACAAAAATGATTTAGGGTGTAGGGCTCACAGGGTGTTCTAACATCCAACAGCACATAACTGTGAAATATTAGCTTCATCCTGACATCATTAAACGTGATGAATCTCTGCCTCTGACACCATCCTCCATCAAGGAATGCTGTAAAATGCACAACTAATGCTGAGATGCTTGATTTTGGGGGTAATGTGAGAACTTCAGACATATCTGCTCCATGCTGTGCTCTCCTACCCAGGATCTGCCCAGAGTTCCCTCCTGGTGTTGCCCTGAGCACTGGGATGTTTGTGTGCTCGGCTTCTCCTTTGTGAATTATGTACACAAGTGTCAGCAAAGCCTTCCTCTCTGCGTTTGTTATTTCTTCTTCATTGACACAGAGGCATGTGTGATAAAGACTCATCAAAGTTATCATTACGGTACACGTAGCTGCACTGAACTGACTGGTTTGTCTGTAAAGCTCTTTTTGATCTGACTCTGTTTCTGGCTCTGTGACTCATTACTTACTTTCCCATAGCACTCCCTGCTGAAGATCACACTTGTCTTCTCCACTTGTGTTTAATTCATGATCAAAATAGATTAGTGTTCATAGTTGTCTTGCTTTTCAGTGCAGTGTGCATAACAGTAGCTTAAAAATAAAAAATCCCAACAACAAACCAACCTTTCTCCAATACTGCTCAATATCAGAAATAACCTCAGTACGCCTCAGACTCCCGTGCCTGGCAGCTCCCTTCCACACAGAACCTCTGGGTCCGTGGCTGTTGGTTGTCCCTGAGCAGCTCTCCCACCGGTGGGTTTGAGGAGGGGACTGTCCATAAATATCACTTAAACCTCCTGATGTGAAGCAATTGCTTGGAACTGGATGGAGGGGAGCAGTGGCTGCTAAAAGGCTCTGAGCTTCCCAAAAATCTAGCATCTTCACTGCTGCTCAGTGCACCTCCTTGCCCTGCTATTGTGACTGCAGGCAGCACTTTTGGGTTTTTGTGCATGTTGTGTTCTGGGGGAAGGGGCAGCTGTAGGGAGCTGTGGGGGGCACGAGGAGGTCACAGGATGAGGAAGGGTATCACCATGCAGAGACCTGGGTGCTGTGTTTTCATTGCTAGTTGGTACTCCAGAGTGAGTTGGCCGTGCAGGACTGTGTGTTTTTATTATGACTTTCTGCACTGAAAAGAAAGTTGTGAGATTTAGATGAGGAGGCAATGCAACTTAGTGTGTAACGCCTGGTTTTGGTGGTCAAAGGGCTTGGGGTTCCTTCCTTTGATTCTGCAGGTAGATAGAAGAGTGGTGGTTCTTAACCATTTTCAAGGATTAAAACATATCTATACGTACACGTGTCAGCGTGTAGATGTATTCTCTAACTTCAGCAGGCTGTAAATAAACACAGCGACTAGTTGAGTGCTGCTGAATGCTGTGGTAACTACTGAGTGTTAAATGACATTGAGATGAAATCCTGTATGAACGTACAACCGCTGCCAAGGTTGGGTTTAACAAAGCTTGTCATTCCCATGGTTTAAAATGCAGATTGCATGCAAGCTCCCCACTGGCTCCCTCGCAGTGCTGAAGCTTTTTCCAGCACTGAAGTTGGAGCGTTTCTCCTGGAATTAGCAAACTGTTCATCATCTGTTCATATGCTTTTGTGAATTTGGCCATTAAAAAGATCCTTTAATTCCATTAAGATGCTTTAAAGCTTAATGGTTAAGAGCATTGGTAACTTTCTGGCAACACGAGGTGGATGTTGCTTTTAAGGCAAGTCCTTGCTCCTACTTTCATGCAGTTAATACAGTTTGTTTCCTCCCTCCCCATATGAGAGCCTTATCTGTGTATCTGCAGAGAAAATTCAACCCGACCTTGCTCTACAGCCTAAGATGTCAGGAGACAAATAAAATGAGCCTGCTTTGTTTATTAATGGCCTTGATTTTTAGCCTGATGACTTATTTACTAAACACAGCTGATGCAGGGAGTGCAGGCTTCAGTACCCATAAATCCTCCCGTGCAGAACAGTGTGCCTGCCTGTCCTGAACCCTGCTCTCCTTGGTCGTGGCCACACTTCCCTTCCAGGCCCCCATCTCACCATGGCCAGGTGAGGTTCCAGCGTGCTGTGCTCATTCCAGTCTGCTTTGGGATCGGCCCATGTCTTTGCTGCTGGTGGGAGGTTTGGGACGTGGGAACCCCAGTGCTAAGTGGTAGAAAGGATAAAGTGGAGCAAGTTATTTTATAGTGGAATAGTTCCTGGGAAACTGCATCAATCTTTGCCTGGATTCATATGCAAACATGACTTGTGCTGGCATTCACGTGGCTGGTGTAGGGGAGCAGTATGTAGCCTGTGATTTGGGCTGCTGTGTGCTGAACCACTGGCCAGATGTCAGCTCCATCAATATAATAGAATATATATATTATATATTATATAATATATATATATAATAGAATCAATGGAGTTGGAAGGGACAATTAAAGATCATCTAGTCCAACTCCCCTGCACTGAACAGAGATACCCACAGCTTGATGATGTTCCTCATATCCTCCTCTTCCTCCTGTTATTGTTTTTTTTTTAGACATCACATAATTGTCTGTACTGGATGTGTTTGAATAATGGCTATTAGAAGGGAGAGCCTGCCCAATTAATGATGGGTGTAAAATAGAATATTTGTCTAAATGTTGTTGCTTGCTCCTTATGCTTAACAGCTTCTGCATTGTGTGTTGCTCAGTGATTATGGGGCTTGCTGGCCCAAAATCACAGATTCACTGTTAAAAATACGTTGTTTCACTCCTAAGAGCAAGAATACTTTCCAAATCCAAGCACGTGTTGTCTGCCTTCAAAGCGTTCGCAAAAATTGGTGCATGAGGGGAAATAATAAAATGATCCTTTTCCTTTTTTGAGTGAAATTAAAATATGGTCTTGCTGCAGATGGCTGACTGCAGTGCAATGCCCCATATGCGTGTGTGCAATTACACATTTCATCTTGATGAGTTTGATGCGTTTAAGGGGCTGGCTGTTTGTTTGTCAGTCATCAGATTCAACCTCCCCCCCCTGAAAAAAAGCAGGGCTGTTTGTTCTTCGTAACATTTTAGATCTAATTCCTGCTCAGCTGAATGACAGATATTAGCATATTCCTTAGGAAATGTGGCTTGGGTGTATGTGTACAGCAAAGAGCAGTTGATAGGGCACTGGCAATCGCAGCTCGTCTGTTAGTCATTAAGCTCAGCAAGAACAAATGTGTCTGCATCAGATAACGAATGCAGAGGCAGTGCTGGCAGTGGAACCTCTGCTTTAGTCTGAAATCCTTTGTTTCCTAATAAGGCCTCAAATATGAAGTGTAGAAATACCTTGGAGAGGATGTGCCATTGGGAACTCGTTGGTTCCAATGTAACACAGTGCATGAGGATTATTGGACTGAATGAGCTGTGCCCTCTTCCTCAGTGCCTTTCTTTAAAATAGAGAAGACATTTGTTTTCTTCTTGAATGACTCTGGGACAGTCATCCCGTCTCACATCTCCTACCTGTCGATGTTGGAGATGGATTCTGGGGGTCTGCTGAAAGGAGCCATGTGGAGGGTGAGGTGGACCCACCACCCCATGGACCCATCCACTCGGGACGTGGAGAAACTTGATGATGGGTCCATTCCAACTCAGAATGTTCTATGATTCTTTAGGGAAAAGTAGCAGAATGCATGATAGCATCTGAGTACACACTGGAAACAGTTCTAGTCCATCAGCTGCAAAAACGATCTTCTTAAGTAAATACCACTTTTCTGCACACAGCATCTATTTTAGTCTTCATGCGTGTGCCTGCATTGAGGGTTGTGCTATTAAAATAACTGTAAGCAGTGCATGAAAGCACCGTGGGTGAAGGCAGCTGGTGCCTCATGGTGTGCAGGAGGCAGCTCTGCTCTGCCTGTGGCTGGGTGCTCCCTGCAGGGCTGCTCTTGATGCTTTGCAGACTTTGAGGCATTGCTGTCAGGTGGGGTTACAGGCAGAAATGAATAGCCCTCATGTAAAAGCTCCCACTTGCAGCAGAGAAAAAAACAAGCAGTCTGTCCTTGCTTTGGTCCTTTGCTGCCCTGTAGGTGTCCCAAAGCTGGGGACCACTGTGGGACAGACGTGCTCTAGAGCACGTGTTTCTCTGTGACCTTCAGACAGGGAGAACAGCAGGAGGTTTAATTCAGGATTGTTAATTCAGCTTGTTCAGCATTTCCTTGGGTGTCTTCCAAGCAATTGGGCTCAGAAATTATTTAAAAAAATATATACATTTTCTAATATATTGCCCCAGTGAGAACAATAACTGAGTAACGATTGCTGGCTTGCTGCTCTTACCCCACTGTGCTCAGCCTCTGGGGTGCTCTCAAGCAGTCCTGGCCTTGCTCTGGTGGCACTGTGCCTTCCTCTGCTGTCCCCCTGCCCACTGCAGGACCTGATGCAGTTGCAGGATGGGGCTTTGGGGCAGCCCCTGCTGAGGTGGGCGCTGTATCCATGCAGCAGCTTTGTGCTGTACAGGGAGCTGTTAGCTTATCTGCTCCGAGGTCCCTTTTGCAGCTGGAAGGGTATCTCTCTGCACGATACTGGAATCCACTTTGATCCATTAGGTTCTTTGTTTTGTTTTGTTTTGTGGAGAGAGGAGGAAGAGATTCCTGCCAGGGCAAGTTTCCAGTAGGTCTCTTGGCAGCTTATTACCTCTGAGCGTTCTTGAGTGTGTTGGTGATACAATCACCCTGACACCCCTCTGCAAGGCAAAATGCTTGTTTCTAAATGCAGATCTACAGTTGCTGCCCTGCAGTGTTCCCCATCCCAGTCAGAAGGTCCTGGTGGTAGTACAGCCAAGCAAACAGTGTGAGCAATGTCTCAAACCTTTGGCAACACAGAAGAAAGACAGGAGGAAAGAAGGAAGGAAAGAAGCAGTGCAAGGCCTGGAGCAGATCTCTGCACAGCAATGATGATTTCTGTCTGTCTCCCATGCTTGGATCACTGCACCCTGAAATCAATGCATAACTGCAGAGGTCAGGAATTGGAATCTGAGTGTAATGGGCCAATATCCTCTGCTGGAAAACAAGCAGTGATGGATCTGAGCCCCTGTTCTGCACCATGTGGATGTTCCAACTTGCGCTTTGTGGCAGCGTTATGAAACCCTCCATACTTGATTTCTTAAAATTATTTTGAATCATGATTAGGCAGCTAGAAGTTCTGCAAAATGCTAGGTAGTTACTTTTAATGCTGTTTTATTCATTAGTAAACCCTTTTAGCTGCCACTTTTATCTTTAATACTTGAGCATCGGAAGTGCCTGAGGAGGAAAGGAAGACTCCAGAAATCCAATAAAAACTTTTGATAAACGCTTGCTGTCCTGCATGCAGTGGAGGTGTTCTTATCTCCTGTTCTCTGAATGCACTGCACTGGGGCAGCAGAGCCCAAAGCTGGGACGGGGCTGGATGTGCTGACACCAGAGGAATGAGATTGAAATAGCTGCGATGCAGAGCGTGCATCTCCATCACTGTGCCATTTGCCAGGGACAGCTCTCATTAGAAGTTGACTTTTTATTTTCTCACAAGTGGGGGAGAAATTAATGACCACCCTCATTTCTGCTGCTGCCCTGCGGATCTGGAATAACCAGCAACTCCTTCATGTTAGTGCGGCTTTCAAAAACAGTATTTCGAAATGTCAAGTTAATGTGCTCTGGGAACAATGAGATTCAAGGACCCAGTGTGAGCATCAAATTGCATCTGCTGCCACAAGGGCTTCTGGGATTCTCAGAGGCAAATGCACTGGGGAGGTTTTTGGTGTTTTTTTTTTCTTTTCAGTCTTTCTTCTGAAAGCAAAGTTTCCTTTTTCTCATGCCTGTCCTCGCCACAAAACGCGGACCAAACCTGTCTGAGATGGCAGATTAAAAACGAAACCCTCATGAATGAGCAATGCAGCCTGCATTTTTTATGACAGAGGAAAAGCAAACCCATTTCAAAATGTGCATATTTTCTTTTTAGATAGGGGAAAAAAAGCGCCGAAATAGGAGGGCTGTGGGTGTCGATAAATATTTATTCCAAAGAAACAGTCTCTGAACGGCATGCCTGATGCTTTTAGGCAATTAGAAATCAGTGTTTGTTTTTCAGAGTGGAAGCAGCATTTTCCAGGAGCTTTTGGAATATGGCCAGTGCCAAGTGAAAAGCTCTGCATGGCGTTTTTTGCCGAGTAATGGCACCAAAAGGATGCTCTGATTTATAGGAGGGGTTGTAATGAGCCTGAAATGAAGGGGAGGAGAAAATGGAGCATTAGCCCAAAGGCTGAGTGTATTATAGGGAAAACATAGAATCACAGAATCATAGAACAGCCTGGGTTGAAAAAGACCATGATGATCATCTAGTTTCAACCCCCTTACTGAAAGGCCACAGCCATGAGCAGAGCAGGGCAGTGAGTTGTACATGAGCAACCAACAAGTCACTTCCTTTCCTTCCCACTTCTCTTTCCTGATGTTTTCTTGTCTGCTGTTCATGGGTGCACACACCTTGGTTAAACCTGCTCTGACACCAGTTGTTCTAAATGCATTTGAAAGAGCTATGAGGAATGAATGCATACGCACCAAGGTCGTATAAATTAATAATTATCGAAGTACTCTTGCCCTTTTCTGCCTCCAGGAAAGAAGCAAGGAAAACTTTAATCTGCTTTTTCCTCTTTTGAAGTCTCCCATACAGGATTTTGCAGATAATTTCAGGGACCGTTGTTTTGATGGCAGTCAGGAGCTGAGTTGTCTCCCTCATCTCTACGTGTGAATGTTCATTTCCAAGTGTGTTTGGGCTTATAATTAGGACAGTGCAAATAGTGTAATCATGAGCTGCTTGGAACCTGTAATTATCAAAAGTTGGTGTATGGAAGATGCATAAATCATGACAGCACTGCTTTCCGGCTGCCAATCAAGAATGGGAATTCAAGCTGCATAAATGCAGAGCGTTTAGGCCGGAAGGTTCTGCTACCATCATCACAGAGGTGCTAATGAAGAAAGTGCTCACCTGTAACTTCTTGTTAGGTAACAACTGAACTAATGAAATGTTGGCACCACTGGAATAATTAGGGGTTTTCTGTTATTTATGAGCTGGACTTTA